AGGGTGAAGAATAAAAATGATGGTCATTTAAGTTTTAACTGCATCCTCATCCTTTTTTTGCCTTCTTTAGTCCATGTTCTCTCTCAGAAGTGGCTTTTGCCTGGCGTTTTGTCAAGAACTGATGCAAGGTCGTTTGCTTTTGTCGGCTTTTAACAATCCTTCTAAAATGTCCGAGGCAAACATCAGCATAGTGGGCGATCGCCAGACCGCTAAACACTTTTTCTGGGTGATTCACATTTACAGCAAAAAGTATGGACTTGTTTGAACCGGTCTGCGGTGTACTGCAATCAAGTCATACACGAGCCCCTGAAAACAAGTCCTCTCGCTTTGGATGGAACTTGTTAGTGTAAAGTCTAATGTGGTAATTTGGCGCTGCTTGAGGGAGGTTACTGAACCTCATTTCACAGTGCTCAGACTCTTATTAGCGCACCCCTCCATCTCTCGCCTCTCTCCATCGCCAGTCAGGCTCTCCAAAGTCAAGGCTGAGGAGCACTTTAACCCTGCAGACAAAGACTAATTACATCACGACTGCCCTTTCGCATTTACTCGAGCAAATCACCGCAATTTCACGTTTTTAAGACAGAGCGTGGAAAAGTACACTTGCGACAGCAACATGAAATGAAGTCACAGTAACAGAAGAAACATCACATTTTGACATTATCAGCAGCATGCCCGACGGCAGGTTGAATGACACTAGGATGATTTTGCTCCTTGGCTGTCATTTACAACACGTTTGTGTACTTTCATCATATTTAATTTACATAATATAACGACCAATCTAAAAAGATGAACGTGTACAGCACATTTGGAATCAGTAGATATCATTTAAAAAAAATGATGGAGTGTGTTACGCTGAAAAAATTTACTGGATCGGTGACTGTATTTTTGAAGGGAAGTGGCCCCTCAAAAAAAAAAAAAAAATCTTTGACATTATTACTCTTCCAGAAGAAAATTCCGAGAAGCCAATGATGACAGTGATTGAATGAAGACAATGATTAAATGTGCTTGAAATGTTAAACCAAAACAAAAAAAAATGACACACTTTTTCATTAATAAGGTTTTTAATTTGACATTAGTTGACCAGAAATAGGTGGCAAATCATGATTTGAAAGGAAATATAACTCCCCATATTGTACAATTCCCCCCCCCAAAAAATCATGTAACTGCATAACTTGCACTCTACAATGATGAGATATTGCGATAAAAACAGTCACAATGCGAATCTCTCAAATTTTCCAAATATCCATCGAGTGAAAAGAAAAAAGTAAAAATGCAGTTTCTCCTCATTATTATAAATTCACACTGTTCCCATTAAAAAGAAAAATAAATAAAAACAACTGTGTTAGGCCTTGACGAAGAAATGGATGCATTCGGTAGAAGCTTCTCTCGCATTTGTGGTTATGTTCCTTGGAGATCACGGCCATCAAGGCCAATTTTGATCCAGAGAGTGACTTGACGATTGAAAAGTGAAAGACAAATGATTCAGTCCCACTAAATCAATGTCAAGATCAATTCATAAGGGAATAAGGGAGGACCTTGTTGTGGGACACATTCCTGTATCCCGACCTCTAAAGCTTGTGATTTGATTTATGACCCACGTCTGGCCGCAGTCCAGTCGCACCAAATAGAAAAAAAAAAAAAAAAAAAGAAAAAGGTTGACTGAGGAGTCACGGGGGCATCCAGCCATTGGCGATGCTGATGCAAAGTAGGACAGTGGAGAATCGATGAACTGGTGGGGATGATAACAGGTTTAGAGCCAGATGGTGACAGAGGCTGTAAACTAACGAGGAAGCAGGAGAGCAAAGATGAAGAAAACAAAGGGATACAAAAGTTCAGTTTTATGATGCTGCCTTTATATGCCACCGCAGTGGATGGGAGATAAAACAGTCAATGTACAGCAGATTTAACGATATACTATAACATTTACCATTCAACATGCTCCCTGGCAAACCAATTGTCATTTTGTGTGTCTTTGTGCTTTCGAGAAATAGTTGTCACTAGCTTCCAAGCTTTCTGAGTCATCGAGATGTTCACTGGCAAATTGAAGGTGGGTCTGTACATGTGCTGTATTGAAAAAGGGTTTGGTTGAAGACGTAAGATTTCAGCCCACTGTGACGCAGCAGATTTCTGTTTTCTTCATTACCAAAGTCCCAGTAAACTTCATATCATTAAAAAGTCTTGCTGTGTATTTTAACGCTGTTTCCTTATCTTGGTCAGATGAGACTCCAGACCAAGGACAATTGACGGTCTTTGTGTGTGTCTTTCCAATGCTGTCACTTTCTCTCTAAGCTGGTTGGTGATGGTTTTGTAACTCATTCCAGCTGTGACTTAGATTGGAAGGGAAGAAAATGATTCTGAAAACCTCTGTGCTTTTATACACATCATGGGTGGTAGTTTCATAGACACCGGGACATGTCTTAATTTATCGTGTTTGGGACCACGTTGCACCTCGCTTGGCATTTCGGCAGACAGAGCCAGTGCGGCTCCTGCTGAATTTGGTGACACAAAGTAGAGTACGCTCGGTGTGATAATGGGCAAAATTTAAAGTCTTGTTTCGTGTGTTTGCGAATTTGGTAGAAGGCGCTATGTCATGACAGACGTCTGGTGTAATCAACTGCACTTTTCGGCACATCTGGCAAATTGGATACCAAAGCTAGATTGAATTTTAGAATACCTAAAAGCAGGTTGTACTTGGTGGTGGAACAGAATTTTACAACACAAAGCGCATGCAGAGAGATTCTGAGCTCCACGGATGATTGTGGTGGACGTCATCATATTTCATTCACAAATGACAACAGTGTGGGACAATCCCACTGAATAATTCAATCAATCAATTTATTGAACGAATGATCATGATCATCTTAAAAATATTTCTAATAGCATTCTCCTAACCACGTGGCACAACTATCACACTGATCACCAAATTCCCATCCACAGCTGCTAACTTTACAACATTCGTCAGTGGAGGTCTTCTTGCAGTTAATTTCAAAAGTACTGTGCGAGCGCCGAGCTCCTGCATCTACATGCCAGGTGGACTACGTAACTCCCACTCCACTGAATTTAAAGGGAATGAGTGGTGCCGCTACGATTGGCTCGGAGTCGGCTGCGTTCACTCCCACAACTGCACACAACGGCGCTAACGTCCTCTTGCATTGGTGCTAGTCTAACAAAATATCAAAAGAAAGAAAACGACGGGTGTACACACAGTTAGACTGCACATTGCACTCGATTTGAGATGGGCATGAAAATAGGGCCAAGGTTCCACATTTGTGAACGGTGAATATCTTGTGCAGCACATGGTCTTAAGGGAGGGAGGTCCACTGTTCGTGTATTTATGAATGAAATACAGCCAGTATCCACTACACAGGTCACAGAGCTTGATGTCTATCTGCCTTCTCACTGATCAAATTCACCAAATCACATTAGACCAGCGGTCAACCCTGGGCAAGCACTTAGATGTGGTCTGAGCAGGGCTAAGTTTGGATTGACTTTCTGCAACCAAATTGTCACTCCTTCCAGGCACATCTCCAACGATACTCCCTCTAGTGCGCTGGCATGGCCATTTTGGTAGAGACTGGTTTGCCAAATTGGCAAGGACACCCAGTCAGCCTTGCGCTGGCACAAAAATTAGGATCATTTGAGCCCCATCACAGATGTGTTGTCTACAAAAAGAGAGCCAAAAGATTATTGCTAATGTAGCAGCCAATCTGTGGGAGCCATAATTGTAGAGGATCATACTGTCACTCAATAAAATACCGGTACACTTCTATACAGTTTTTTAAAATCATAAAAAATTATGTGCTACCTGTCGCTTTCATCACAAAACAACCATAAAAATAGGAGACTCAATTCCTTTGGGAGTTAGCAAAACATAATCACTGCAAAACATAATCACTGCAAAGACATGATTAACTACATGCATATTGCACCCACTTGTGGTGATTCCATTTATTTGCTTTCCTGTCAATGTCTGTCACTGCTCAAATACTTCCCGACCTCACCTTATGATAATTTAAAGTAATCATTTTCAGGGGTTCATGCAACTGTCATTTTGACGTGACTCTCCCTGTGACCTGACTATGGGGCGTCCATATTTAAGAGTTATTTACGACTACCGACAAGCATTCCTTGGCCAACCTGCTTTCTGCGTTACAATCGCTTATGATTGACGTGCTAAATCTGAATCTGTGGCACCGGTAATGAAGGCAGAGTAATGTTGACTCCTGCGATTGGCTGGCAACCAGTTCAGAGTGTCCCCCGCCTACTGCCCGAAGACTGCTGGGACAGCCTCCAGCACTCCCGCGACCCTAGTGGGGATAAAGCGGTTCGGAAAATGAATGAATGAATAATGTTGACTCAAGTTTGCACTTGCTGCAGGGCCCCCAAGACTATAATGATATTGTTTATTTTATTCAAATATTGGCAACATTATTATGGACACATTCACATCTAGTGTGATCAAAAACAATATTTAAGACAAAATAATATCAACTGAAGTTTGCTCTTGTTTGCGAGACCACATTATGCCTGTGCCATGTTTATTCTTTTGGTTGTAATTTTGTCCAATAATGATGTTTTAGGCTTAAAAAAAAAAAAAAAAAAGGTCCTCTGCACTATCCCCATCTCTGAAGGGCAATCACCTCTGTTGTTGTGTTCAATGCCAAAAGATACTACACTTTATCCGGTTACAGCCTGTCAGCATGTGAGAACTGCTGTGATAGGCTCCATTCATTTCTTTCATTGACACTTACTATATGACCTCGAAGTTTGCACCCAAATTCTATCAAGTCACTTGAGTAATGGTTATGTGACCCCCCCTTCGATGATCCGTAACTCCCATCAATGAGAGAGTCAGTGGGAGGGATGCCAAGCAGAGGACACACAAACACACGCACACACACACACACACACACACACACACACACACACACACACACACACACACACACACACAGACAAATTCAAACAAAACTAATGAGGGTGACAACAAGGGAGGAGTGCACAGAAGACAGTGAAGAAGCAAAACGACTGCTCCAAAGACGTCGAAGGTGCCAATGACGCCTGTCATTTGTAATCGTGTCACTTTAAGTGAACAAAATAAATTGAAAACCACCCCCAAGGAGCCTCATCAGCTTCTCAGCCGGATGTTTCAGAGAAGAAGAAGCTTCACATTTGGAGCCTACGGAGGGTAAGAACAACAAATCCATCGCGTTTAGCCCAGCTTAATTTTAGGGCTTAGCCTTTAGAGCTTAGCATCCATTCACCTATCGAGGATTCATGAGTAAATGGGCTTCTTTGGATTCTCAGTTTTGCTTACAAACTTTCCTTTTTCCTTTCCTGTCCTATCTGAGTGAGATGACCCATGAGGCACTTGGTGGATAGATTGTTTGTTTGAATTCTACAAATGCTAAATAAAGATGTCTCGATGCTACCTGAACCGGTTAAAGGTAGTTTAACCCAACTTTAGCAGAGGTTACTCCTGACCAACTTTTACGAAAATAAAGGAGATATGTTACGCACAATCCTTTTCGGATGATATATAAAGCAATAGGCCACCAAAGAACTTTACTGGCTACGCCAAGACACTCGACAGTTTCATGCTAGAGACTTTGAACAAAACTTTTAACAGTAACGATTTCCTATACAAACCAGTATGTCTCTCACTTGTCTATTACGTTTGGAATCGTCATTGAAATTAGCAATGAGATGAGCTCAACCTTGACATCCCTTCACCTATGACATCGGAATGAATTTTTAGCGAATGTGTCTTTTGCGGCAAGGTCACTTAACTCTGTTCTGGGCTCGTTTACATTAGCATTAACGAAACAAGGATTTCCATTTGCTAAAGTGTTACCTCCCTCGTTTGCCACAAATTCAGGTGGGCGGTTGAGCTGCTGCAGTTAAGTCACCATTTATTAGCTCGTTGACCGCTGAGCAGTGCTAGCTTGTTAATTTATGCTCATAGTATTTATTATAATCCACAATTGTTGTTCCCAAAGGAATTATGAGAGAATGTGTCTTTGTTCCATGGCTGTGACAAATCATTGACCGTCTTTGCTGCCCTTGTTAACATTAGCACCAGGATTGGTGAAATAAAGAGTTTATTCATGAGTTCTCCACCCCTTTGCAGTTAAATAACAATTTACTGGCTCATTGGCAGCTAAGTAGCACTAGCTTGTTCATTCTGCTCATTAGTGCATTTAATGGACAACCTTGCATGCTCTGTGAACTTTCACTTCAGGGACAACAATGTGGCCTGTCGATTACATGTCCCCCTCCAGCGAATAATAATGGGTTCTTCCTTCTTCTATTTACCGACAAGTGGCTAAATGCAATGATGGACTTGCTCAGGAAATGTTGACATTTTTTTTGTAGCCTTTCCCAAACTTACCGGTAATTCTTTTTCAAACATAAAGTGTACGTACGTCATCATTTTAATCAGATACAGAGATACGCATTAGATCATCTACATGATGGTCTTGCTTCATTAAAACTGACCCCTAAAAAATAATGACAGGATAAGAAACAGTAGCATCTCCGTAGCTCTAGGGATTCCAGTTCATGTAAAGTCAATAGGATTACACGCAGCCATTTATCACAAGTGCCCGGAGGTCCAGTTTAAAATTGCTGCGTGGCCTTTGGTCTGATTACAGGCCACATCATTCGGTACACACATACATCAAACATAGCATAATTATGTCTTCTCAAGTCTGCACTTACTGCACAACCATAAGACCATGCTGATAATATATTTTGTCAGCCATATCATTAGGCACAAGTATGACCCAACACACGATGAAAGGCAAAGTTACGTTGACTCAAATTTGCCCTCTATTCAGCGAGACCACGTCACACAGAATATAATTCTTTTCATAATTTCGAAAGGATGTAAGTCTCCAGAAAGATCATGCTGATGTCATATGCGTTGTCTCAAGACTGGCCACACCATGAGGCACACATGCACATCTCATGTGATACCACACATCATTAAACCGAGGTTTACTGAGCAAGGACAAGACAATGCTGATGCTGCATATTTACGCCACAGACAGGCCATATTATTAGACACACCATATTAAAGGTTTTGTCTACTCAAGTTTGAATGGCCTCTTACTTTTGCCATTTCTCGGGGGTTTGTTACAGTGCTGTTAGTACCAAAACATTGTGTTGCCTGTGTCATCGTCGTGGTGGTCGCCGATTGGCCGTCTGATATTTCCACTGTCAACACACAACACAAGCAGAACCCCTACCGTCAGCAACAACGCACAGAATGTCATATAAACACACAAAGTTAGAGGTGAGCGCGGATGTGTTTTTACTTCCTCACATCATCTTGTGCGATGTCATCTGATCCTTTGAAAACACACATGCCAGGGTGCCAAATAGTGAGCCCGCACAGATGGATGTCGATGTCATGAAAAGGTGCATAGATATCGCTTGGGCAGGAGTGCATATGCTGCGTTTGAACATTGCCCATACAGGATATAGCACTGGAAAATTTTGATTTGTGCATGGTAGTGTCAATGCAACTGCTTCATGATTGGACCGGTGCCATGTGATTGTTTGCTGGATTTAAGCGTCCAAGCGAGGAGCTGGCACGTCCCACCGCAGAGAGGTGATATTGGATTAAAAAGCTTCAAAACAAAATGTATTTCAAGTACATTACTTGTCTCTCACTCATGTATTTACAACATGGCTGATTTCATTTGTTGTTGTTATTATTATTATTCCCCACCACCACCACCACCTGTTCTGTTCAGCTTGTTGGTCATGCAGAACGGTGAATCTGTATACCTTGTTATGCTGGAAGAGTTTTGTGCAACCAACAAATTTTATATGCCCCCTCGATGGTTATTTGTATTTTGATGAATATTTATTGCAAAATCCAGTTGGACACAACATTGGAGACATACAGAGAGAAAACAGAGCACACAGAAAAAACAAAAACAAGCAAAGACAGACCCCGAGTGACATTGCAGTCCAAACAACAACAGTTACCAATATCAGCGTTTACTTTATTTTAACTGATGGCAAATTTTTTTGAAACAACAAAATTCAGTGAAATAGGATTCTCTGTCACATTACAAATCCATCTACAGCACTCTTTATTCATATCAAACAAACTTAAAAATGCAAAAAGCAATGGTGCTCGTCGACTAAAACAGCAAAAATATGCATTTGAATTATAAATGATGAACTGCAATTGTCCCCCGCCTACTGCCCGAAGACAGCTGGGATAGGCTCCAGCACGCCCCACGACCCTCATGAGGATAAACGGCTTGTATAATGATTTTTTTTTTTTTTTTTTTTTTTACAGTGCAATGACAATGAAGGTGAAACTGGATTAAAAAGCTCAAAACCAAAACACTTCTGTCTGCTTCAATATCCAGTTTGCAGCTTTAATTCTGCTTGACCACATGCATGATTTTGTTTCTTATATTAACGAATGGCAATTTTTACACAGTTATTGACATTTAACTGGACTTATTCCACACAGCAATATTAAAACAAAGTAAATGCAGTGGTTGTCAAATCATAAAACAGCACAGGAAACTGACAATTGCAAATTTCAGGGACAGCGGTTACTACAGTGGACAGTTTATCAGGTTACAGGGTGCCTGAAAGGGTTAAATCATATCATTCTAATATTCTACTGTGGTTGCCAGTACTGGAAATTTGCTTAATTTCCATCTATCCCTGTTGCCTCTCAATGTCCTTTCTCTACTTTGCTTAGCAGCTGCCCTTCTGCCCCAAATTATGCAGGAAACAGCTGGATTGGCATGTAATATATTTTTTACACTTTTTTTTTCTTTTAATTTGAGAGTAGGAGAGTACAGGACTGGTTTGTAATGGACCTAAGTACTCTACCAGCTGTTCCCCCACCAGTTTCACCACATTGTATAAATACTGACTTCTACTGTCTTCCTTTAAGTTGTTGCATGCAGTGTGACTCCAACGTGCACTGTGAGCCGTCATCTTTAACTCCAGTCACTTCCACACTCCCACGCCCACGCTTGGCAGCCGTCCTTTCCCATCCTTGACTCAATCCCAGCATGGATAGTTAGTGGCTGGCAGACAGGCAGGAAGGCAGGCAGGCATCAGGGCAGATAAGCGAAAAAAAAGGGGATCAGCGGAGGAGGGTGATGCAGATCACGTTCACGAGCTTCTCTGGGGATCGGGGGCGGCGGGGGGGAGGGCACAGAGAACAAAACTGTTAATATTGGGAAAGGGGGTCACTTGATGAGAGTCACTGGAACTCATTGTTAGAACTGAGCAGTGTTCTATTCTGATGGGAAATATGTTGTTAAAGTGAAAATTGTTTTCGTATTGAGAAGAATATTGTCATATTGTCAGAACAGATCTTCTTCTGGTATGGCTTTATCTTTTCAATGCATAGTAGGCTCCACAACATCCGCAGGAGTTATAGTTGACATCTTCCATATAACAAAATATAATCCAAATATAGTACTGGTGGACAATCTCTGATAATTGATATCGATGAACAATTCATACAGATGCTTTTGGTACTTATACTTAGAGAAATGCAACAGCAATCAGGATCAGAAATAAATGTAAGATGTATTGTATGTCAATCAGTTGCTCTAAAAGTTTGTGTGGGATCTCATAGAAGAAGTGGAATGTTCTATATTTCTCATTTAGGTACCACTTTGCAGTAATGAAAGGTTTATCGAGTGGTTATTAATACACTTGGTACAGTTTTTCATGGACAAATGATCAGAAAACTCGACATGATGCTCTGCCCACATAGACAAATTAACATTTGGCCATCTGTTTAGGCCTCCTCCTTCCAGTTGGGGTGCATTTGGAAGCATTCCCAAATTGCAGTTTGAAAGACATGTCCTTCAAATTTAGTGTCGATTAATGAAACTGGTAGCGAGGGCAATTTTTTTTCTGAAATTTCTACGGGCCTTGGCAGTCTTTAACGCCATGCTTGGCACACCATTTCAAACCGAATTCCAGTAAATTGGGACGTTTTTATTTTTGGTTAACACATCATACAATAATGTGCAAATCATCTTCAACCTATATTTAATTGAATATATTACAAAGACAAGATATTTAATGTTCAAACTGATAGAATTTTATGGCTGCAACACGCTCCAAAAAAGCTGGAACAGGGTCATGCTTACCACTGTGTTACATCACATTTTCTTTTAACAACATTCA